AAAAAAGAAAGCACGGAAATCCCCGAAAAAGGCGAAAATTTTCAAGGAATTAAAATCTTAAACCTGCCTTATTGTATTCGACGAGAGGTCGAATTTTTAAACTCATGCTTGCATTGGCTTCAGGTTCTATTGAATTGTACGATAGTAGTTTAACAATTGAATAAAGAGAAATAGACCACAGGAAAATTCATTCCGAAAGAAAAAGAACAACTTCCGCCCGGATAATCGTCGTTAAAAAAATGTGAGCCTAGGATGCTTTTTGAAAATTTGAGAAGGTTCCAACGGTTTCTAACCCAGTGTGCTGAATTTATTTCCCGGTTCGCATTTTTTGAAAATGTACGACTTTCAAAAATATCCAAGAACCGAAACTGAAAGATTTAGTACCAGAAACGGCAAATCTACCGAAGAAAGCGATCTATTAAAAAAAGAAGGTTTCATCTAACGCAAAGCTTCGACCTAATTTCGGCCCTGAGAACGCCACACAACTTCATCGTCTGTGCGAGATACACTTGAATGATCTTCCTCGACGTACTTAGCGTCAGTCCTGAATTGCTCCAAGTAAAAAAGATTGACAACAAGATCAACCGAATGATCGAGATAAACTCATTTACTCGAGGAAATAAAAATCTAAATGTGGCACGGTATGAATTCCTCCAGAAATAAAAATCTGGAATATCCTTCGATAAACACCAGCAGAATATCTAGGGCGAGAGATCCCAAAATCAACAGCTACTTCGCATTTCAAAAGTCTCCCCGACATTTTTTCACTCGACGCGGATTAGGAAATTTCACGAAGAAAATACGCCAAAATATTAGTTCCAGATTAACGAGAAATTGTAGGCCAACCTTCATCTCAGCGTCCAGTAATTTTCAACACTTCAAACTCCATTTCGAAATGAGAATAATGCTCCAGTAAAATCGCGAAAATAAAGTCGGAGTGAAAGCGTGAAACCCGAGTGAAAAGAAAGAGCAGCGAAGCGAAACAAACTTTCTTCTCAATGTCAAGAAATCTTCGTCAAAAGTACGTGAAAATTAGCATGAAGCCTTGAAAATCTCCGTTTTCCGTCTGCAGAATTGCGAAAAAGAGGGCTCAACCAGGCAAACAATCATCGACTTTTCGGTGGATTTAAAAGTTCTCCCGCTCTCCGAGTTTTCAGACCCTTTTTTATACATCGCAAACAATGAGTAGGGAAAAAAAATTTTCGTGGAAAATCACCCAGAACCACGGGGGGAAATATATATATACTGTATAATTGTAGAATGGGGTCCAGACCCGCTCATTGTTCTCCCTGATTTTAATCACCGACCTAGGTTTTTTTTTTTTTTATCTACCCCATCGAATGCAACAGCCTCAGCATATTACCTTTAATTTCGCTTGTCTTCAAGGGCCAAAGAAAAAGAACGTCTTCCCTTTACTTTATTCGAAATGCCTCATTATTTTCAACAACAAACCGGTGATGTACGGCAAATCTGCGATGATAATCAGTTGGTCGAACAGGTTTGTGCATTCGTTCCAGACTACGGCGAATTTAAATGATCGACTTGAGAAACAACAATTTCCCTAGTATGGTCAAGTGCATAGAAATTAAAAAAAATTACTCCCAAAAAATAGAATATTTCGCGGAACTGCGCGTTTTTGAAAACGAAAGAACAGCATGATTCATTTCGCAGTCGGAGCTAGTGATTCGGTAATTTTTAACCAAATGTTCCAATGGAAAACAGTGACCGGAAGATCTAGGAAGTGACAAATCATTGAGGGGGGCTCGTGCTCATCATTGAAAAGTCAGCTGCCACGAGCACGAATCAAAGTCATTGTATGACAGTCATCCTGAAGAATTAAATAAATTTTCCTTCCATTTTGAATTTCATACAATGATTAGCATTTTCATCACTATAAAAGGATAAAATATTCACCAGTAAGGAAAGCGATCAACTACGCATAATTCTGTTCGAAAATCTCTGAAATCCTAACAGACAATTTTACGAAAAAAATCTGAATTTTGATAATTTCTTTGAAGATAATACTTCCACCTTCCAACCAAAAAAATGACGCTAAAACTCTCAATAATATGTTCAATTTATTCACACGAAAGGCCAAATACAGTACAGTGGGCCCCCTCACTACAGCCACAATCCGTTCCTGGGGCATGGCTGTACAGTGAACCAGCCTCACAGCGAATCTCTGTTCTCCATAGGGTCCCATTATGAAAAAAGTAATCTGTTCTTGAAAGACATTTTTTGGACCCAAATGAATATACAACATGGAATAATCTGCAGGCAATTAACACTAACTAATGTGTTTCATGCCAAGGGGTTACTTTATGGTGAAAATAATGTGCAGGAGTGCAGGGAAGAATAAATTACAAATTTTTGAGTTCTTTTCACAAGCTTTCTTCACCCTTCTGTAAAAAAATTGCAAACTGTAACACTTTTTCACAAGTCATTTCAATTTTTCTTCAGCTATTTGCTTGTCTTCAGAATCAGATGAGATGATTTCCAACTGCTGATCCATACCACATCCCATTTTTTGTTTCTTTGGAGAGGACAAGTTGAAGAAACTGTCTATGGTACTCTGCCTTTGTTTCTTTGTCAGCATCTGTGCTGAAGTGTTGTACACCATGCTCATTCAAAAGTTCA